TTCCCTGAGTCACCACCTATCTCCCGTCAAGATCATCAACACAGTTGCCCAAATCTGAACCTATAATCTATCCATGCTTGCACCTTCACCCTCAAATCTAATTAATCCCCAAGTGCTTTCTTTTTCCACCTCTTAAATACCCTTCTAATCCATCTCTTTCCTCTCTCCCTGCTGCTACCACCCACAGTCCGGCCACCACCATCTTGGTTGGAGTCCCGCTCTTCTCCCCTTCCCATCCATACTACACAGCAGCCAGAGAGATCTTTACAACACCTAAGTCTGACCTTTCAGTGGGTTTCCATTGCCCTCAGGATGAAGTCCAGACTCTTGAACGTAGCACACTAGTCCTACGTACCTGGCTCTGATTGATGACTCAGTGCCTCTTACCACTCCCCATTGCCCACCGCCTTCCTTCATTGCTCTGGTTCAGGGTGCCCTGAACACCTGTCAAATGAGGACTGGACCAGAGGCTCTGCAAGGGCCTTTTAAGTCTTATCTTCTTTGGAAGTGACTCTGAGTTCTGCTCTGGGATTGCAACATTCCCTTCTCATGGGCTTAAGGGGGATACAGTAAAGATTGCCAGCCTTGGAAGGTCATCCAGGTGCAACCTGAGAGAGCCCAGGGAGGATCCATGCCTCTGAAGCTGACTTGCCTTCCTTCTGCCCTACCAGCTCAAGGGACCAGGCAAGACTGATGTTGCACACACTCCATCTGTTAGAGCCTCCTGTCCCAAGTCCCTGAGCCCCACCTCCTCTGCCACCACTGCCACCTCTCCATCAAGGAGAAATGTGACTGCAAAGAAGCCTGGGCCTTGGTACTAGGAGGAAAAAAGAAGCACAGTTGAGGATTATTAACCAGGGAAATCTGGTTACCTCCTGAAAGAAGTAACATAAAAGTTGAGACCTAGAGGGAGACCAGGAGTTCGTTTATTCATTCAACAAATAATTATTGAGCACTTAATATGTACCAAGTACTGTTATAAAAATTTAGGTTCATGTAAGTGAAGAAAATAGTCGAAGATGCCTGTCTTCCATGAAGCTTACGTTTTATAGCAAAACACAAACATAAGTAAGGCATTAACGAGAAGGAAGAGATGTGTTCTAGACGTGGAGACTAGCATTAGAAGAGGCAGGGCTGGAGAAGGAGCATGGAAACATCAGGAAACCAAATAAGTCCCTAAGACTGATGGGGGAGGATGGGGACTGCTCTCCAGTGCCCTCTAGAAGCTTAAAATGAGCTCTTCATTTCTACGCTCTCCTCCACTGCCCCCTCCTACCTCAATCCCAACTCCACCCCATAAAAGCTTTCTTCACCCAAGATCATTTCTAATTTCTACTTCCTTCCAGTCACTTTCCCCATCATCTTGCAGAGGTAGATGGTATGGGCCAATTAAAGAAGGCTTCCATGCTTCACAGAGAACCAAGTGCCTTCTCTCTGGAAGGTTCCTGCTTACTATTGAGGAATATAAGCTATCTAGATGTCAGATCCCTCTGTGATGACAAGATAAGGCCAGCCACGGTGATGACAGTACCCAGAGTAGTAGTCCTTCAGTATCTGCCCTGCACAGCAGCTGAAGCTCTTGCTTGTTCAGTAGGCCGGTTGTCACCCCCCCAAAAGTGGATAAACTAACTGAGGTTCCAAAAGCCGAAGAGGTCTGCCTGTACACAAAACACCTAACGTTCCAGACTTCCAGGCCCCCAGTCTTTTTCTACCACCCTTTTCTGCCTCCTACTATCCTGAGGCTAGACATGCTGTGCTGTTATAATATCATAGTAACAACAGCAACAACAATAATAAATAGCAATTTTTGAGTATCATTTATGTGCCACATTATACTGTAAACTTTTATTTGTATTGTTTCATTGAGTCCTTTTATGGTAGCTATCTTTAGAAATGGCCCCCAGCTATTCCTTTCTGTACATACCACATCTCATCTCAAAAATAGAACCCATTTCTCCACCCTTTGAGTCTGAGCTGGCCCTGTGACTGCTTTGACCAACAGAATGTGGTGGAGGTGACATGCTTGGGCTCCTCGTTAGATGCATTCTCTCAAGCCTAAGGATAGAGGCTGCTCCTTATCTCTGCAGCTTTTGTATTCTTTAGAGTTCTTGCTTTTTACTAGTCAACCTCTCATTAATCCAATTTCCTGTGATAGTTAATAATTTTTATATTAAACTTTATATGTTCAAAGTACTGTCTCCTGAATAGACCCTGAGTGATACACCCTGAACAACAGCCCGAGCAGAACTCCCAGATTTACAGAATTTACTCCCACAATTACAAAGCGAGTAAAAGACTGAACCAGCATTGAAACATAGATTGTATTAACAACACCCTTTTAAAGATATGAGCTCACTTAGAGAACCAGAAGGGACCTTAGGAATACAGTCCAACCTCCCTCATTCTATAGCTAAGGAAACTGAAACTCAGAAGGTGGAAGCAATTTTCCAAAGTCACACATTTGGGAAATGGGAGTCAGGACTGCGAATGACAAGCCCAGTTCTCCTGACTCTCACCCAGTGCTCTTCCTCTCCACCACACTGTCTCACACGCCTTCCTACCATTCTCACCACCGCACGCTTCCTTGTGCACTTTCTCCCTCCGGGAATGTCCCTGAGGTGGGGTGGGGGAGCGAAAGCTCCCTGGCTGAGAACCCCTAGGGCACATTTGACCATGTCTAGAGACATCTTTGGTTGTCGCAATTGGAGCTGAGGGAGTAGTACTGGCTTCTAGTGGACAGAGGCTAGAGATACTGCTAAACATCCTACGGTGCCCAGGACAGCCCCACCACAAAGAATTCTCCAGGCCAAAATGTCAATGGCATTGAAATTGAGAAAATTCGATCTAGAGAAACCGTGACTACACAAGATTCCCTGCCTCCATGAGTCTTCTCCTGTTTTCCTAAGGCTTGGGTTGCTCAAACCAGATAGGTAGCATCTACTGCAGTCATTCTCACCTGCTGAAAAATAAACAAAGGATGGAGCGGTCCTGAGGAAATTCCTGGCAGGGAGCACCTCTTATAGGAGGACTCTGGCATTTTCAAGACTCTGAGGCACCAGGTTTGATTAGCTAACGATTAGTTTATTGGAAACACAGAGTGAAACAAAGGCAAACAAACTTGCTGGCATTGAGTCATTGGCTTTTTAGAAGCTTCTGCAGGCAGCCCTGGAAGGGAATGCTCTCCTCTCCCACAGATCACGTCCTTCACAGAGTTACAGGAAAACCACCATCAGTATTTCCCATCTCTGTTCCACAGGTTCAAGCTCACAGGCAGATTCCCAGGAAGTGCGGACAGGGAGATTCTGGGGCTTGCCCTGTTCCTCCAAGCTTGGGTGAATGGGTCAAACAAGACCAATGAATCCAGCAAAAAACAGAAGGCGGAAAAAAGGATGTATCCTAAGGACAACAAAGCGACTACTAGGGAAGGCTACAGAAAGAGACCAAGGTGCTGCTCCAGCCGCCCCAAGGTTCAAGGTGCCTAGGGGGATGGCACACACTGGGAGCAGGTAGGGAGGAAGAGCAGAGTGTACACATCTGGCGACTTGTTCTTAGGAGGCCAGGGGCTGGTGGTGCGTGGGGTAGCACCAGGAGGGGCGTTCCGGTTGTGCATGGTCCTGGCTGGGCGGAGGATGCCGGTTACGCGCGCTGGCAGAGGCTGCAGCCTCCTAGCACTTCTTACAGCCCCCGGAGCAGGGGCCGCAGGCGTTGGCGGTGCCCACCACCACGTTGCCGCAGCAGGGGGCGCTGCAGACGCTGGTGCTGACAGCAGGAGCAGTACCGCTGCAGCAGAGATCGCCACAGACGACGCCACCGCGGGAGCTGCTGACGCCTGAATGAGGGGAGAACAGGCCCAGACATGCGTCAGCCATAGTCACAGCCAGCTGGCTTTGGGGCAAGCAAAAAATGCCCCCTCTCTAAAGGCACTGGGACCACCCAGCAGGAGAGGTGTAAGGGCTCTAGCTACTTACAGACATTCACGGAGCCAACGCCCTCACACAGCCTGTTGGGAAAGGAAAAGAGACTGGTCAGTGCTGTGGAAAAGCAGCCGGGCCCACGCGGCCAAAGCAAAAAGTAAGACGTGTGGCCCTCCTTGTGGGCAATAAATGGGCTAATCCAGAAGCCAGGAGAGCTGGTCACCAGCATGTGGGTTCTGAAGACAGAAGGCCTGGTATGTCTTGCTCTCCACCCACTGTTAGCTGAGCGACCTGAGATTTACCCTCCCTCCACCAACCTCCTCACAGGGACATCTACTCCTCCATCTGTTGTGAGGATGAAATCAGATATACATATAAGTGCCTAGTGCCTGCCACACAGGGAGCACTTCAGAAATGTTAGCTGCTACTGTTTCTGTTGGTGTGTAAATGAATGGGATTTCAGAGGCCATTTAGAACAGGTTCAAAAACCATCCACACCAATCATCTCATTTGGCAGGTAGAGAAACTAAGGCCCAAAGAGAGGAAATAACCAGGGATAGAGGGAGGGCTATAATTCAGGACATCTAACTCCTCCCAGCCTACACCTCTGTCTCCTTGAGGGACACACATGGGAGTCCCTGTGAGAGCACAGGAGCAAAGAGTTGTCACAACCAGCTTGAGATGTGAGGAGAATTCATAGCCCCCCATCTAACCACCTACACCCAGGTTTCCAAATCTTCTGAGTTCACTTCAAGTGCCTTGTGTGGCGGAGGGGTGGGCCCCTCGATGTCTAGTGCCATCTCCATGTGTCTCTCTCAAACTTTCAAATTTAGTCTTAAAAAACTCTACCTCCCAGAATTCTTCACTAATGAAACTCCCCAGGCCCAGTGAGCTCCAGCGCCTCTGAACTCTCCAGTGCAATTACTTGAATTTGTTGTGGATCTCTCCATTTTATCACTTTGATTCCAGCTACCAAACCTGTGTCTGCATCTCCCCAATACACAGGATGATCCCTGGATGCTCCATCTGCATCCTCACCATCCACTCCCCTCTGCCCAGGGCCAAGACCTTGGCTGTACACAAGAAGACAAAGGCTCAGGGTGTGAGAATCTGACCAACCTGGAGTAAGAACCAAAGGGATATTGTCTTCATAGGAGCTGCTCAGCTCCCCTCCAGCCATAGAAAGACTGAATGACCAATGTGTTTCCTCCTGCCCCCAAAGCAAACAACAGGCAAAAGTGGCCAGAGCAGGACACAGCAGCCTCAAGGGACAGGTCTCTGCTACCTGTCTACACTCAGTCCTATCTGCTGCAATGGAAGACCACTTAGGAGTACTCACTGTAGTTAAAATATATGTGTGAGCTGATTAAAAAAAAAAAAAAAAAACTTTAAAACCTGTTAAACCTGTCATTATGGGATAAATATGTTCCTAGGGCTGGGACAGGGCCAAACTTGAGAAGAGAGCTAGAATCCTGAGGGACACATGCAATGAGGGCGTGGAAGGGCAGAAGCTCTATAGAGGGAAGGTGGCCCCAAATCCAGGCTGAGTTTCTCAAACACAGCGATTACGACAGCCTAACACCTGACTCTGAGGAACAGAATTACAAAGGCACCAGTCCCAGATCAGCACCTATGTGGGCATGAGAGACTCAAATAGCACTAGAAACATGCCTAAAGGATTGACTCAAATTACCTGTCCAGTTGCATTATGGGGATACTTGGACAAGAGAGGAATGATGCCAAGAGTGTGAAGGAGAAGGCACACTGAGAACCCAGGCAGGGCTTGGAGAGAAAATTGGCTATACCAACCTCTGCTCCTCGCCCTCCAGCAGGCGCCTGTAGGTGGCGATCTCGATGTCCAGGCCCAGCTTGGAGTTCATCACCTCCTGGTACTCCCTGAGCAGGCAGGCCATGTCCTGCTTGGCCTTCTGCAGGGCGGCCTCCAGCTCGGCCAGCTTGCAGCGTGCGTCGCTGACGGCCGTCTCGCCCTGCTGCTCAGCCTGGGTCACTGCAGTCTCCAGCTTGGTGTTCTGGCAACCCAGAAGAGAATAAGGTGGGTTATGTCTCTGGGTCTCTCTGTTCATTTCCTGAGTGTGTCCAGGCTCTCCCAGCCAGCTGGGAACACCCAGGAACAGGCCTGTCACTCCATCACCTGGGTCTCCCTGAGTGACCACAACTCGCAACTCTAGTCATGCAAATGGGCTGGAGAATGAATGCTGAGATCCACATTGGGCAGACATTGCCCATGGGACCCTGGCGAGGCCCCCAGCCTCTCTGGTGTCTAGGCCACAGGTGACCCGTACCTGGCACTTGGCATTCTCGACCTCGGCGGTCAGC